AAATTTGTTTCCTAAAATGTAAATTTGTTTCCTAAAATGTATATTTGTTTTTAAAAATTTTAACTTTTTTTTCAAAAATACATTTGTTTCATAAAATATAATTTTGTTTCTTCAAATGTTATTTTGTTTTTTATTTGTTAATGTGTTTCTGAATTGTAAATGTGTTTTGCACTTCTCAGCCACCGTACTAAACTCATATGGGGGCGTAGAACATGATGAAATAACGTAAAATCAAGCACCCAATGTAAAAAAAAAACGGCATTCTCCTTTAAGGGTGGCTCTGCTAGCTTGTGTTATTGTTTTCCTTTTTTTTAAGAGAACTACTTCCTTCCTTTGTGGATCATAGTTTCTTTTTACATTTTTTTCTCTTTGCTCTTTTGTTGGATGTAGTTTACCTGGAAGAATTTTTGCTGGTATTCATTTTTTGGACATTAGTTAAAATATGTGAGCATAGCAAGTATTTTGTTAACTGCTGGTAATAGCTTATTAAAATATATCAAACTGAAATAATACTTATAGTACTTATGCTAGAACCAGCTGAGTTGAAAAGGTCGGGCCAAGGAAGCAGAGCTGAAGCAAAGAGAATAGAGAGGATGAGGACATTCAAGCCTCTTCCATCAATCATTAGACATAATCTGACATCTTTATCCCAAAGGCAATGCAGCATTATGTGCACGTTATGTTGTTGTCATGGTCACATGTTAAACTGTTGGCATTGGAGAGTTTACTGCTGTTATTTTGGGAAATGTTTTACTTCTACCTTCTGCTATCGGTCAACACTGCGTGCAATGTCATTAGTTCTGTTGTCATAGAAACTGCTAAATGCATCTGTGGCGATAACTGGTGATTCAAAGTGTATTAAGACACTAATCAGAGATTTATTGAAGAGGCGGAAGCCAAACTTAAAGTCGTAGAGAAGCGGCTGTTCCAACCGTTCCATTCCTGAATTCTCCCGAGTGGTGCCCGACTGTGATTGGTCGATTATCAAGGGGGCGGGTTTGTTGTGGAGGAAGGTTCACAAGCAAGTTTGATTGTGGCCGGTTTGTCAGAATCATCTTACTAACCAGTTAGAAACTTAGTGCTAGTTCCCGATGGGAA